CTCCGCGGGGAGCCTGCTTCTCCCTCTGCCTCTGCCTCTCTCTATCTCTCATGAATAAATAAATAAAATCTTTAAAAAAAAAAAAAAAAAAAAAAAAAATACTTCCTTTGTTTAGCTTCTGAGGAAAACCCCATCCCTGGTTTTCCTCCTACCTCAGTGGCACTCAGGCCCCCAACCTTTAAAATTTTGCATTATGGAAAATTTCAAATATACAGAAAAGCAGAGATTAATATAAAGAAGCCCCACGTATCCATCACCCAGTTAATAATTATCCTTTACCTATACTTCACGTTCCTTTTTAGTGTCCTCTGCCAGTTGCTCTGAATCTTTCCAAACTTATTACTGGAATTCTCAAGTGTCCAGTGCCTAAAACCCCTTCCTTCCTTTAGCTACATTCCCTCTCTTGGGGACACAACCGGTCTCATGGCTTTAAATACCACATGTAGGCTAACAACTCCTAAACTTACAATTACAGCTCAAGCTTCTCTACTTCAGCTTCAATTACCCAACTGCTTCCTCAGTGGAAAGCTCAAATGTCCAAGTCTGACAACCCCACCCTCCTTTCCCAAAGTCTTCTGCTTCTAAGATAAGAAAAACTCATTTATCCCAACAAAAACCTTGGCTTATCCTTCATTCCCTTTCCTCTCACAGCTTATATCCAAACCATAATCAAATTCTGCTGGCTCTACCTTCAAAACCTTTTATCAACCCCTTCTCACCACCCTTACCTCTATTTCCTGGTGCAAGCAATCATCGTCTCCCATCTACCTGAACCACCACCGTAACAGGCAAAATTAACGTTTTAGTAACTACTAGTAAGAACAATTAAAATTGTTAAACTGAATCTTCAAAAGTTAAGATTTTCTGGCTACTTAACTATTTTTTGTGTGAATGAGTTTCTGTAAGAATTTGACATCTTAGAAAAACTGATGAGGGGGCGCCTGGGTGGCTCAGTTGGTTAAGCGACTGCCTTCGGCTCAGGTCATGATCCTGGAGTCCCGGGATCGAGTCCCGCATCGGGCTCCCTGCTCGGCAGGGAGTCTGCTTCTCCCTCTGACCCTACCCCCTCTTGTGCTCTTTCTCTCTCTCACTCTCTCTCTCAAATAAATAAATAAAATCTTTAAAAAAAAAAAAAAGAAAAACTGATGAGGGGCCGCAGGGTGGCAAAGCTGGATAAGCGTCTGACTCCTGATTTCAGCTCAGGTCATGATCTCAGGATTGTGAGATCGAGCCCCACACAGGACTCCAAGCTCAGCGAGGAGTCTGCTAGTTTCTCTGTCCCTCTCCCTCTGCCTCTCCCTGCGCTCGTGCGCTCTCTAAAATATATAAATCTTTAAAACAAAACAAAACTGCTGAAATAGGAACGTGTAAGGAACTCTGTACATTACGAGCTTAAGATAATCTATATGAAAAACTGTACAAGACAGAAAACGACTGGAGCAAACTCAGCCTAGTGAAAAGACATTCGTTCTTAACACTACAGCCCTCGCTCCCATGTAATCTGGTTCTTGATCTTTCTGAGCCTGGCTCTTCATGGACCTTTCAATCCTGAGAGCTCCGCTGTGTCACCCATACCTCTCTCCCTCTAAGCTTTTCTGACTTAAAAGAGTTGTGACTACATATTTTAAATAATGTGCATAATACCTTTAGCTAGGCAGAAATGCCTTTTTCTTTCAACTACAATTACCAGATACACACATTTACCTATTTGGTGCTTTCTAAAAAATGTTTAAGGGCTACGATACCTTGGTGCTGCTTTGATAATGTTGTCCACACGAAGAATCACCTCTGCTGCTTCAGCTGCACTCAAAAGAACTTGTCGCTTTACTTGGAAACTTTCTGTTATACCCAATACTGCCATATCTCCGATGGTACCTTCCTTCATATCTAAAAAGAGAGAGTATTTACTAAATAAACAACATTAGTTTTAACAACTAAATTATCAAAATATCTCTAATGACTTACAACAAATGAAGTTAATCCTGTTATAAAAAATGAGATTACAAGACTCAACTACTCAATTTATTTAGAGCATTCTCATCAGCCTAAAACTCAAGGGAAGACTTTTAGAAAATTAAAAGGTCAACTACTGATCATCTGTACTAACGGACAACTAGCTCAGGTAACGGAAAATTTACACAGAACACTCAATCGCCTATCTTTATTACATACATAAATGTGTATGTATATACGTGTACATATATATATATGTAAAATTACTGCAGAAAATGTGCTCATCACTAAATACCATGAATTCTTAAGAACTGAAAGAATTCAAAACTCATCTACTTTTCCTCTTGTGAGAATCATACTTCACCTCCTGACAGATTATTCATTAGCTCTCTCTTCTGAAGCGATGGGATTATCTACCCTCTATGACTATTCCTGTAATGTCTTGGGACAGTTCACTGGGAAATTTTTCAATTTGAATTAAATTTGCCCTTTGGGCCACTTTTATCTATGTAAAGACCTGCACTCAAGAATGCCTCATAATAAGTTTCCTATGAGAGTAGGATTTAATATTTACTATAAGAAATTTAATTAGGTTTATACTTATTTCAGAATATTAGTACTATTTATGTATTTAAATCCTACAGTCAACACATAATAAACTAATTACAAGTCTTCTAACTAGTTTTATACCCCTTATGGAAGAACAGTTCTGACAGTGTTGAGAATACGAAGTTAAACATTCTCCTAGGACATATAATGGTTACGGAGGCAAGCACCATAGAAATCTTCTCTATGCTTATCCTAAGAATTCATCTTAAAAAAAAGAGAGAGAATTTGGTAAGGAGTTATTTCTTTTTTTTTTTTTTTTTTTTAATTTTTTATTTATTTGAGAGAGAGAATGACAGAGAGAGAGAGAGCATGAGAGGGGGAGGGTCGAAGGGAGAAGCAGACTCCCCGCTGAGCAGGGAGCCCGATGCGGGACTCGATCCCGGGACTCCAGGATCATGACCTGAGCCGAAGGCAGTCGCTTAACCAACTGAGCCACCCAGGCGCCCCGGTAAGGAGTTATTTCTTAATTACTACAGTCGTTTTCTTACCCAGTCCAGCAGTTGTATTGCCTTCACTATGGGCAGCTCGGAGCTGTGCCACCAGATCCGCACTGTCATAGCCTGCATTATCAGCTATGATAGTTGGCAACTATAAAGTGAAAAAAACAAATGGTAACTATTCTACAATAAGAGAGGTGTAACTCTCTTAGTCCTAACTAGGACAGCTTTTTAAAATTACGCATTTAGAAACAATGTAGTATTGTTCCTTTTAATTACTGCTCATAAAAAAGATAAGCTCCCGAATCAAATTTAAGTGGTGTGAACCAGTTCTTTTTCTTAAAGCCAAAAATTAGCAAACATGTCCAAGAGAGAAAAATGTATTCATTTAAAAAACCATCAATACTCACAAAATGTGTAAGTTCAAATGTCTTTATCAACTTACCATTCTTAGGGCTTTAGCATAAGACTCCATTGCAACAGCTTCTTTGCCTGGTGTTCTACTGGCAAGCTGTGTCACAGCATGAGCCATCAGCATCTCAGAACAACCTGCAGATGAAAATGAAATTCCAATAAATTATGATGTTTAGTTATCTCCAACACACTGACTTACTGATTTCCCTTAAGACACATCAAGCATTTTAAAATTAGGTGCAAACGCATTATATACAAACTTTCTAAAAATCATTAAAGCCAAAACCATTACTGTACTTTAATAGAACATGTTTAATATTTTTAAAACGCTTACCTCCTCCATAAACTGTTCTAGAATCCTTCACAGTTTGGGCAAGAACACAAAGAGCATCATGCAAAGATCTTTCTGCTTCATCTATAATTTGTTGAGTGGCACCACGAAGAACAATGGTACAAGCTTCACCTAAAGTTAAAAAATAATATTCTTAGGTCACAGTGAATACAAAAAATAAGAGTTTGCCTTCTATTATTTATGCAGATACTGGTTATGATTATTATTTGGTTTTAAAAGCTAACATGTCCTCTGCTGTTATACATTCTTTTTGATAATTATCCATGTTCACAATAGTTCTAAGTTATCTAAGAAACAATCATGTTGAATATACACTGTTCACATAGGCAAGGTTAACATGAGTTTGACCTCAAGAGACTGAAATAAACATGCATCCTATGCTTCTCATTGATTAAGACACATCATACTCTAGTAAACAGAGTATTTCTTTTAACTTCAACAGAGCCTATCAAAGATTTAGGAACCTAAATCAGGATCTACATAATCACTCACCAAGGGCCACCCCAGAAAAGTGGATGAGTTTATCTTCTCCAATCATGACTTCCTCAATAAGCTTGCAACTTCCGAGCTTCACTAGTTCTGGGTGGTCAAAGGTAGAGGCAATTTCACCACCTATGAACATAAACATATGTTAATTAAATGCACAACACGTTTAAAATTTGTTTCCTAGCAAGAACTAATGAACAGACATTTTTTAAGTTCACTTTTAAGTTCATTTTAAGAAGCACTTCATTTGGGCGCCTGGGTGGCTCAGTTGGTTAAGCGACTGCCTTCGGCTTAGGTCATGATCCTGGAGTCCCGGGATCGAGTCCCGCATCGGGCTCCCTGCTCAGCGGGGAGTCTACTTCTCCCTCTCCCGCTCCCCCCTCTTGTGCTCTCTCACTCTCTCTCTCTCAAATAAATAAATAAAATCTTAAAAAAAAAAAAAAAGCACTTCATTTAAACTAATCTTTACAATCACCCTCATGAGAGATGCTCTATTATCTGACATAAAACTAATAAAACTGAGGTAAAGAGATACTTAAGAGTTTCTTCCAAGGTTACATAGCTCGAATAAATAATACAGTGAAGCTGGGATTCAAATCCACGTAATCTGTCTTTAGACTTATATGTACACACTGTATAATACTATTTCCCAAAGGTTATTTTTTCCCCCCCAAAGGTTAAATTGGGACTTTAACATTTACTTTTAAGTCTGAATTTAAACTCCGATTCTCTTTTGAATCTAGTCTACAAGACCAGTAGCCTTATGATCCAACTTCCCAAAACGTGAAAGTATTTGACTAGTTCTATTATGTCTACAAGATGACACTAGAAACTGCTTACAGGACACCTGATATCTGCTAATCATCATGATAACTGAAATCTCAGAATGCCCCTATAAGGCCCAGAAAAAGGGGAAATGTATACTGAGAATTTCCCAGAGCAAACCAAATGAGGTATCAAAAAAGTAAATTATTCTGGGGCGCCTGGGTGGCTCAGTCGGTTAAGCATCCAACTCTTGGTTTTCACTCAGGTCATGAGATCCAGTGGTGCAGTCTTGCACTCAGCGTGGAGTCGGCTTGTCCCTCTCCCTCCCCCTCTGCTGCTCCCCTCCCATGCACTCTTTCAAATAAAATAGTTTAAAACAAAAAGCAAATTTATTTTTATATCTTATTTCTATTCCTATTTTCCCTACATCTCCCATGGTGTAAGCTGAAAGACTCAGCCATTTCCTTCCCTGGTTCTTAACTGCAAAACTTCGGTTTCCATTTTAAAATCCTTTTCTCTAGTTCTTCACTCTTTTAATAAAGTAGATTCCCTCTACCATCATCAACCAACCCCTCTTTTCCTACTCCTTACTGTTAAGTCTGAATAATTGATACTTTGTATCTATTTTACAAAAAATTTATTAGAAAGAACTCTGGTCTTTCCAACTCTACTGATTTATGATGATCTATTTAGCTGACTTTTTGACTTCTGATTGGCCTGAGCCTGAGACTGCTGTATGTTCTAGGTGTGAGACACAACAGATATTTGGGACACCCCATATCCCCAAAATGAGACTAATTTGGCTTACGAGAATTTTCATTTATCCTCAATTCACTCACTTACCTACATTTGCTAACAAAATATTTCTATAGACATTTACAAGTACCAATTTCATGCATCCTGACACCACATAAGCTAAGGATGGGAGGCACCACAGGGCCAACTTTGCAGTGGGTTGTGCTTGGTGCAGTCAATATTCTTCTGAGTATATGTGGCAATTTCATGTATCAAGTCCTTAAGATATCAACTTATCCCATGAATGTCCTATCATCCACATTTATTTCTTATGTTATTATCTTTAATTTTTTTGCCTTAAAGGAGGAATTACACCATAAATTTTATCACCTTAAGCATCAAATACGTATGGCTCTTAAAGAACTTTAATTAAAGCAAGTAAACCCACTTCAAACTAATTAATGAAAGAAAAATTTCTCTTTTTAGGTCAGAAGACCACGCTTCTCAAAATATTAAAAATGGATTAAGAAGTTATTCTGAGATGAAACCAATTCTACCCTTTACAATAATTAGTATACTTTATTTTTAATACTCATGGCACTTGAAAACTAAATTCAACATTCCTAGTGGCTTTATATCTCAAATCCCTCTCCGTAATTCTCATTTCAAGATCTCAAACCAACTTTCCAACCCATTCATTCATTTTCAAGGGCCTGAAAATTAGAGAGTAAGGGCTGCAAAACTTAGTTTTTCAAGGGCTACTTAACAGTTACTTTAAAAACTATTGCTACAACAAAGTCAACAAGTTGCAACACTATGTCATTTTGACAGACACATTATCTTACTTATAAACATTTCTATTCCACACAACTGGGAGTATGAAACTCATACCTCTGTTGACTGGTATTACAGTATACTAACTTTTCATTATTCATTGCTGGATTGTTTCACACTTATTTCAACATTACTTCCACAATTTTTTTAAAAAGATATATTTATTTGAGAGAGAGAGAGGGAGAGTGAGGGGGA